TTATTATAAATAATTGATGAGTTTAGGTGAAGAATATAGTATTTATTCTTTTAACCTTTTTTGTAGAATCAGAATATTTCAGATTAAAAGAATTAGGCCAAGAAATGAGAGAGGGAGAGAATGGGAACAGAGTAATTAGAGACAAAGTCTTTCCTGTAGGAGCAGGTTTTCCTGGAAGGGTAGCAGAAAAATGGATCTGTAGCTTGGGAAGGAGTGGGGAAGGATCTGGGGTCTAGAGGAATTTGTTTGTTTTTGCTTTTTTGATTGGCTATATTATATAGCATGTTTGTTGTATTAATAATAAGAAAGACTTGATTTTGGGAGGGGCGCAATGACATTAGAGGAAAGAGAGGGAGGATACAATGTTAGCACAGTGTTCTTGAGTAGATAAAAAGGAATGGGACCTTATGGCTGGGAGAGGCTGACCTTAGGCCCTTGGGTTGTTCCTTCATAACAGAGGGGAAGGTAGAAAATAGGAAGACAGGTGGAAGGGTGCCATGTGTAAATATGGACCACAAGGAAGTGCTCTCCTGATTATTTTTATTTTCTCCGCATAAAGACAGTGAGAATGGGGAGGAGGATGGAAGTTTGAGAAGGAAAGATGAGATGTATAAAATAAGCCATCTAATAGAGTAGGAGAGTGAATAGACTAGTATAATGCAGTAGCAGTACTTAATGGTCTCCTTGAGGTTAGTAGTCATGTTGGCATTGCATGTTTTTACCAGCCTCATTCAACAGCAGATACAGGTGTGGAATAGGTGGAGAACTGTATTTAAGCAGGGTTGAGTTTACTAGGCAGTATGATGAAGGGAAAAGTGGGAAGGGAGTGGTTATAATAGGGACCATGGACTCATGTGGCTAAGGAAGGAAGTAAAGGATATGAGGTAGATGAAAAAATAATAAAAAACAAGCAAAAAAAAAAAAAAAAGCATAAAGCATAGTAGGAGAGAGAGCAGGAAATAGTCCAGCAGAACAATGAGGCCTTTATTGTTTTAAAGTATGCTGTGGTGGCTTACACCTTTAATCCCAGCATCTTGGGAGGCCGAGGCGGGTAGATCACCTGAGGTCAGGAGTGATTCATCCATACCATAGCATGTATCAGTACTACCTTCCTTTTTATTACCAAATAATATTCCATTCTATGGATGTACCCATTTTGTTTATCCATTTATCAGTTGTTAGGTGTTTGTGTTGTTTCTGCTTTTTGTCTGTTATTAGTAATGCTGCTATGAATATTCATATGCAAAGTTTTATATAGACATATATTTTCTTTTTTTTTAAAGATGGAGTCTCTCTCTGTCACCCAGGCTGAAGTGCAGTGGCACAATCTCAACTCACCACAACCTTCGTCTCCTGGGTCAAACAATTCTCATGCTTTGGCCTCCTGAGTAGCTGGGATTACATGTGCATACCATCATGCCTGGCTAATTTTTGCATTTTTAGTAGAGATGGGGTTTTACCATGTTGACCAGTCTGGTCTTGAACCCCTGATCTCAAGAGATACACCCACCTTGGCCTCCCAAAATACTAGGATTACAAGTGTGAGCCACGATGCCGGCAGGGCATTTATTATCAATTTGCAGTGAGGATTTCAAACCAACTTTTGCCTAACACTTTTTACCTACTATGCCACTCACTATAAAACTCCATGGTCTTAAACATCTAAACTTTATTCTTAGGAGAATGGTAGCAGATACTGTCAGTGTTCCTCTCATATCTCTTTTCCATTTCTTGCACATAGATACTTCCAATGTCCAGCAGCTATGTCTCTGTTGGAGGGCTGCTCTTGGGCTGCTGGAGCACACTTTGCCTGCTTGAAGAGATAGCCAAAAAGTACTTGGAAATTTACTTCCCACCAGCAGCTGTCCTTAACCAGTGACTCATTTCTTTTTGTCCTAATTGGGACAACATTTAGATGACCCCTACACTGTCCCAAATTCCCCATAGGCCTGAGCCAACGTTGCCCTTTCCTGAGTTTTCCACAGGGTTTTGCTTGATGTCTCACCCTTGCTTTGCTTCCTTGCTTTCTAATCTCATACCCCACTACCCTACGGGTTTTCTTAGAGAACATTTCCCTGTAATTGACTTTCACACCGATGTTTGTTTCAGGGTCTGCTTCTGAAGCTTATTTTACACAAATCCAAGATGTTCAGCACATAGAAACAGAAAATTAGAAGGAGATAGAGATGTTTCTAGAGGCAGGCCCACCTACAACAGTGAGAAGTGAGAGCTGATAACCATAATAGCAAGGGAGGAAACAGAAGCACTATAAAAAGTAAACATGATGGAAAAACCACATCAATCTGGGCTTAACTGCCCTTCATTTCTCAGTAGTCTCCAAGATCATTGCCATATACAGTGTAATCATCAGTATTCATACTGATGACTATGAATTACTAAAGAAAATTAAATTCTATTCAGAAAAAAGGCATATCCATGTATAATGCATTTTAAAAGCTTGGCTCAAAAATAATATAAGGGCCGGGTGCGGTGGCTCAAGCCTGTAATCCCAGCACTTTGGGAGGCTGAGGCGGGTAGATCACGAGGTCAGGAGACTGAGACCATCCTGGTCAACATGGTGAAACCCCATCTCTACTAAAAATACAAAAAATTAGCTGGGCATGGTGGCTCGTACCTGTAATCCCAGCTACTCAGGAGGCTGAGGAAGGAAAATTGCCTGAACCCAGGAGGCGGAGTTTGCAGTGAGCCGAGATTGTGCCATTGCACTCCAGCCTGGGTAACAAGGGCGAAACTCCGTCTCAAAAAAAAAAAAAATAATAATAATAATAATAATATGAGGGATTGAATACACATTTGACAAGTTCCTCACAACAGTCCACTAAAATGACAATAAAAGAGTGAAGAAACTGTATAATATAATCACATGAAAGCAAAATTAAATGAAAGTTTGGAAAGTAGAAAGCTAAGTACCTGCTGTGAAGTTGGGGATGGAAGGTGGCAGTGCCCAAGAGGTAAGTTTAAAGTACCAAGCATCACTCAAGGCTTGGTACAGATAGGAGCTAAATAGGGGAGAATTGCTTATAAATCTGTTTAAGCCTGGGCAACATGGTGAAACTCCATCTCCAAAAAATACAAAACTGAACCTGGCATAGTGGAGTGTGCCTGTAGTCCCAGCTACTTGGGAGTCTGAGGCGGGAGGATGGCTTGATCCCAGGAGGCAGAGGTTGTAGTTAGCCAAGATTGAGCCACTGCAATCTCAGCTAACGGCAACAGAGTGAGACCCTGTCTTTAAAAAAAAAAAAAAAAAAAAACTGCTTAAGCTTTTAGACCTGCTCTATTCTGACGGAAGACTAGTGGTCTGTTCTCCAGAGCAGCTGAATGTGAGGCACTGTAGACGTAGGGATACCATGTCCAGATGAGAACAAAGGTACTGTTTTCAAGAAGATTTTTAAAAGTCTGTATACCAATCACAGAGATTTCTAGCTCTTTTCTTTACGTAGCCAGACTTATTTCCTATCTCCTCTCTCACCCAACCCCAGTCTTCCAAGAAGGATAAGATTCCTTTCCTTAGAAAACCTAGAGAAAAACACTGTGAATAACTGGTTGGGATAGGATATCCTTTTCTTTCTTTCTTTCTTTCTTTTTTTGAGGTGGTATCTCTAAGCACTCCAGGCTGGAGTGCTGTGGCACAATCTTGACTCACCTGCAACCTCCACCTCCTTGGTTCAAGCAATTCTCCTGCCTCAGTCTCCCAAGTAGCTGGGATTATAGGCATCCACCACCATGCCCAGCCAATTTTAGTATTTTTAGTAAAGATGGGGTTTCACCACATTGGCCAGGCTGGTCTCAAAACTCCTGACCTCGGGTGATCCGCCCACCTCAGCCTCCCAAAGTGCTGGGATTACAGGCATGAGCCACCACACCCAGCTTGGGATATCCTTATTTAGTCAACCAGATCTCCATGCACTCACTCTCAGTGAAACCCACAACTTGACAAAGCTCAGTCTATGCCCACAGAATATCTCATCTTTTTTAGTACTTTACGGTCAAATATGAATGGTCAGTCAAGAAACCAGACGTCTGAGAAAAACATTAATGCAAACAGAAAAAAAAAAGTAAATTAGAAAACACAAAATAGGGAACAGGCGAACACTTCAAAAAAACAACTTTCATAGTTTCATGAGAAATAAGAGATGTTGCATTCTATGTGACGGTAATGAGAGGCCAAAAGAAAATTCAGAGAAAAAGAGCTTTTGGAAAATAAATGAAAAGTAGAGGTTTAAAATCCAGCAGGGGCTGGGCACAGTGGCTCATACCTGTAATCCTAGCACTTTGGGAGGCCGAGGCAGCCAGATCCTCTGAAGCCAGGTGTAGTGGCAGGTATCTGTAATCCCAGCTACTCAGAAGGCTGAGGCCGGGAGAATTGCTTAAACCCAAGAGGTGAAAGTTGCAGTGAGCCAAGATCACACCACCAGACGCCAGCCTGGGCAACAGAGCAAGATTCTGTCTCAAAAAAATAAAATTGAGCAGGATTGGCTGGGCACCATGGCTCATACCTGGAGTCCCAGCACTTTGGAAGGCCAAGGCTAGTAGATAACTTGAGGTCAGGAGTTCGAGACCAGGCTGGCCAACATGGTGAAACCCCATCTCTACTAAAAGTACAAAAATTAGCTGGGCATGGTGGCAGGCACCTGTAATCACAGCTACTCGGGAGGCTGAAGCAAGAGAATCACTTGAATATGGGAGGTGGAAGTTGCAGTGAGCTGAGATCACGCCACTGCACTCCAGCCTGGGCAACAAGAGCGAAACTCCATCTCAAAAAAAAAAAAAGAAAGAAAAGAAAAAAAGAAACAGGTTCTGAAAGGTGGGGGTACTTCATGACACAGATTTTTTCCTCTCTATAAATATCATCTTCTGAAAGAGGTAAAAGTTATATAAAGCCAATTTTAAGGTCGTTATTAAAAGAGCACCTTACTGAAAAGGGTGGCATCATTCACATCCATACTTCTTCAATTCAAAATCATTTTGTTCTGTTCCAGCGTTCCTAGAATCCCATGGGCCTTTGCCATGACGGAAGTATGTGGCATGATTCTGTGCTATATTTGGCTCCTGGTTCTTCTTCTTCACAAGCACAGGTACCTCATTACTCCGTTAAAAGATTGAACATGTTTTGACTCTTCTATGAAGGTTATAAAACCTTATCTTTCTCTTTGCAGTTTGCTTGTTAATTTTCTTCTATGGTAATTGTGACATAGTTATTAACAAAGGAAAATGTTTTGAGTTTGATGAGTAAGAGTCAGCCTAAGATAATATCTACATATTTAATAATATCCTGAATGCATTTTGCAAGGAAATATCAGAGATGACGGTGATTTAGGCATAGAGCAACCCTTGCTGTATCGCTGATCACCCTCATCTCTGATCTAAAGAAAGATAAGAGGCCAGGCTCAACCACTCAAGCCTGTAATCTCAGCACTTTGGGAGGCTGAGGTGGGCAGATCACTTGAGGTTAAGAGTTTGAGACTAGCCTGGCCAACATGGTAAAACCCTGTCTCTACTAAAAATACAAAAATTAGCCAGGCATGGTGGCCCATGCCTTTATTCCCAGCTACTCGGGAGGCTGAGGCAGGAGAATAGCCTGAACCTGGGAGGCGGGAGTTGCAGTGAGCCAGAAATCACGCCAGTGCACTCAAGCCTTGGTGGCAGAGTGAGACTCCATCTCAAAAAAAAAGAAAAAGAAAGAAAGATAAGAAAGCCTTATCTTTCTTTAGAAACAAACTGGAAATGTCTCTTTCTGTAGAAGGATAGAGACTCTTCCAAGGACATTCTTAGGTCAGATGTTTAGGTGGAAGAAGTGGAAGAAATTTTCTCTGCTTGGAGGAAGCCCATTAAAAAAGAGATTATTGGCTGGGCTCCGTGGCTCAAGCCTGTAATCCCAGCACTTTGGGAGGCCGAGGCGGGTGGATCACGAGGTCAACAGATCGAGACCATCCTGGTCAACATGGTGAAACCCCGTCTCTACTAAAAATACAAAAAAATTAGCTGGGCATGGTGGCACGTGCCTGTAATCCCAGCTACTCAGGAGGCTGAGGCAGGAGAATTGCCTGAACCCAGGAGGCAGCGGTTGCGGTGAGCCGAGATCGCGCCATTGCACTCCAGCCTGGGTAACAAGAGCGAAACTCCGTCTCAAAAAAAAAAAAAAAAAAAGAGATTATTGGCCAGGCGCAGTGGCACATACCTGTAATCCCAGCACTTTGGAAGGCTGAGGCAGGAGGATTACTTGATCTCAGGAGGTCAAGGTTGCAGTGAGCTGTGACTGTGCCACTGCACTCCAACCTGGGTGACAAGAGTAAGACCCTATCTCCAAAAAAAAAAAAAAAGAAAGAAAGATTATTTTGCACAACATGTACATATAGACTGTGTGGTTTACTTCAGATGGCATAGAGAGTTGCTAAATTGGAAAGTGATTCTTGGCACTTTCACCAAAAATGAAGGAAATAATTTTTTTATTTTATTTTATTTATTTTTACTGCTTATTGTGGAGCAGGGCTAACTCCCCGGCATTGTGCCCAGCGTCAGCCGGAAGAATTTTTTTAATTAAAAAAAGGAAGCATGGGGGGCTTCTTTCTTAGTTTAATGAGCAGGAAGAATTAGTGGATTTAAGTAAAAAACAAGGCATTGTGAGCTAAAAATTTAAGGATAAAATTAGTAAATATTGCCTAAGAGCACCTGAGGAGGTTTAAAAAAACTGTAGATGTGAGAGCTTTTCAGATTGCTTTAAAAAAAAAAATTTGTAGCTTCTGCTGTCCATTGTCTTTGGAACACTGGAGAGAGGAAGAAGGGTAGTTTCTTGAGGTTTTGACCTTTCTCCTCACCGGGAAGTGCTTGAGGTAAACCACAATGATGGTCCTAAGCAGCAGTTATTTCAGTGTTCTGAAGGTGAAAAGAAAGGTTGGTGGTTACTATTCTTATCACACTTTTAGGCCACATTGAGCCTCACTCTCTCCCATTTTGCCCTGTTTTGCAGCAATATTTTAAATTCTGGATTGCTTAAAACCAGAGGTGGTTTTAAAACATGTGTACCGTTGCTGCTTTCTGGTTAACTTTGCCTCACAATTTCTTATGAATTTGAATTTACTCTTCAAAACCGGAGTTTACCTTACAGGAAACCTTGATAGGTTTAACAAAGCATAGAGATAACCAGTTAAATCCAAGTGTTAATGTTTACTTAGTCAGATAAAGTGTTTCTCAAAGTGTTAGTAACACTTTAATTAGAATCACCTGGGTGCTTGTTAAAATGCAGATTCCTGGGCTCCATCCCAGGAGTGCACACTAATGCTTGAAACATACCTGGCCTTGTGTTCAGTGCTTTTTTTTGAGGGAGGGAGGATCATTTCAAAAATATGTGATGCATGGTCCCTGTCCTTAGGAATCTTAGTCTGAATTTAAATAATGTAATGGTGCTAGTGTTGTCACAGTGCAGTTCATCATTATCCAAAACTTCGTGTTTTTTTGTTTTGTTTTGTTTTTTTTGTTTTATTTTGTTTTGTTTTGAGACGGGGTTTTACTCTTGTTACCCAGGCTGGAGTGCAATGGCGCGATCTCGGCTTACCGCATCCTCCGCCTCCTGGGTTCAGGCAATTCTCCTGCCTCAGCCTCCTGAGTAGCTGGGATTACAGGCACGTGCCACCATGCCCAGCTAATGTTTTGTATTTTTAGTAGAGACAGGGTTTCACCATGTTGACCAGGATGGTCTCGATCTCTTGACCTCGTGATCCACCCGCCTCGGCCTCCCGAAGTGCTGGGATTACAGGCTTGAGCCACCGCGCCCGGCATTGTTTTTTTATTTTTATTTTATTTTATTTTTTTTTTTTTTTATTTTTTTTTTTTGAGACGGAGTTTCGCTCTTGTTACCCAGGCTGGAGTGCAATGGCACGATCTCGGCTCACCACAACCTCCGCCTCCTGGTCTCAGGCAATTCTCCTGCCTCAGCCTCCTAAGTAGCTGGGATTACAGGCACGCGCCACCATGCCCAGCTAGTTTTATTGTATTTTTAGTAGAGACGGGGTTTCACCATGTTGACCAGGATGGTCTCGATCTTTCGACCTCGTGATCCACCCGCCTCGGCCTCCCAAAGTGCTGGGATTACAGGCTTGAGCCACCGCGCCTGGCATCGTTTTTTTAAGACTTAGTATTTTATAGCTTAAGAGAAGTTAGAATGAGTATTCGATAGCTACTATCATTAACTAATTTACAATGGGTTTTTTTTGTTTTGTTTGAGACTGGGTGTTGCTCTGTCACTCAGACTAGAGTATAGTGACATGATCATGGCTCACTGTAGCCTTGACCTCCTGGGCTCAATCAGTCCTCTCACCTTAGCTTAGAACTACAGGCACATAACACCATGCCTAATTTTTTGTAGACAGGTCTTACAGCATTGCCCAGGCTGATCTCAAATTCCTGGCCTCAAGCAATCCTCCTGCCTTGGTCTCCCAAAGTTCTGGGATTATAGACATGAGCCACCGCACCTAGCCTACAGTGTTACTAATGAGCAAAATATTCCCTAGAATCACAGGTCTTTTAACTTTACCTCCTTTTCTTATTTTTTATTTTTATTTTTATTTTTTGAAACAAGTCTCTTTCTGTAACCCAGGCTAGAGTGCAGTAGCACAATCATGGCTCGCTGCAGCCTCCGTCTCCCAGGCCCAAGCAACCCTCCCACCTTAGCCTCCCAAGTAGCTGGGATCACAGGTGTGTACCACCACATCCAGCTCATTTTTTTATTATTTGTAGAGATGAGGTCTGGCTATGTTGTCCAAGCTGTTGTCAAACTCCTGGACTCAAGCAATCCTCCCACCTTGGCCTCCCAAAGTGCTGCAGTTACAGGCATGAGCCACCATGCCTGGCCAACTTTTATCTCTTATAAGTAATTTATGAGCAATTTTCAGTAATAGGACTAACACCAGGCTTACTTGGCTTCTGTCTTACATAACTCTTTTACTTTTTCTTAGCCATATTTTCTTTTTTGAGAGAGAGAGAGTTTTGCTCTTGTTGCCCAGGCTGGAGTGCTGTGAAACAATCTCAGCTCACTCCAACTTCTGCCTCCCGGATTCAAACGATTCTTCTCCTTCAGCCTCTCAAGTAGCTGGGATGACAGGCATGTGTCACCATGCCTGGGCTCTTAGCCGTATTTTCTTTTCAATGAAATGATGCTCTTAGAATCTAATTTAGGTCTGCATTGTTCATTATGGCAAAATTTAAATTAACTAAAATGAAATAAAATTTAAAATTTAGTTCCTCAGTCATACTGGCCACATTTCAAGTCGTTAAGATCCACATGGTATGTAAATAGCTTCTTGGACAGTGTATTGAACATTTCCATCATTGCAGAGACTTCTATTGGACAGTGATGCTTTTGATGGTCTAAGATTTCTGTTCTCTTCAAAGAGTCTAGTGGTTTTTCTACTTGCTCTTCATTGAAGTAAATATTTGATGCCTGGGGTTTTTTGGTTTCTTTTCTTCTGATCTTTCCCCCTTTTTGATCGCTCTCTTCACAGGTCAATACTTCTGCGAAGGCTCTGTAGTCTGATGGGAACTGTATTCTTGCTTCGATGCTTTACCATGTTTGTGACCTCCCTCTCCGTGCCAGGACAACACCTGCAGTGTACTGGAAAGGTAGCCTGCTACCTTCTTTATCATTCTTGTTCTTGGTGGGTTGATGGCACACTATACACATTAGGGCTAAGATTTTGCTTATAGTATTTAAAAGTGCTTTTTGGTATCTGCAATGTCTATTTAAAAAACTATAGAAATACTTTAGTAAAGGTCTTAAGCCAGATTCTTCTACCTCCCTATTATTTCTGTTGAAACTTGTTCTATGCTATAGAGCTATAGAAAACATGTTTCTTTGAATTATCATTTTTCCTTTCCCACTATCCTCAGCATTTTTAAAGTTTCTCATATGGCATGCTCTAGTTCCTTCACTGTCCTCCTCACTCCTTTAAAAATGTTGCAGGCCAGGTGCGGTGGATCACCTGAGGTCAGGAGTTCAAGACCCAGCCTGGCCAACATGGTGAAACCCTGTCTCTTATAAGAATACAAATACTGGCCAGGCGCGGTGGCTCAAGCCTGTAATCCCAGCACTTTGGGAGGCCGAGGCAGGTGGATCATGAGGTTGAGAGATCGAGACCATCCTGGTCAACATGGTGAAACCCCGTCTCTACTAAAAATACAAAAAAAAATTAGCTGGGCATGGTGGCGCGTGCCTGTAATCCCAGCTACTCAGGAGGCTGAGGCAGGAGAATTGCCTGAACCCAGGAGGCGGAGGTTGCGGTGAACCGAGATCGCGCCATTGCACTCCAGCCTGGGTAACAAGAGCGAAACTCCGTCTCAAAAAAAAAAAAAAAAAAAAGAATGCAAATACTAAAAATACAGAAAAGTTAGCTGGGCGTGGTGACAGGCACCTGTAATCCCAGGTACTCAGAAGGCTGAGGCATGAGAATCACTTGAACCCAGGAGGCGGAGGTTGCAGTGAGCCGAGATGGCACCATTGCACTCCAGCCTGGGCAACAAGAGTGAAGCTCCGGGCTGGGTGCAGTGGCTCAAGCCTGTAATCCCAGCACTTTGGGAGGCCGAGACGGGTGGATCACGAGGTCAAGAGATCGAGACCATCCTAGTCAACATGGTGAAACCCCATCTCTACTAAAAATACAAAAAATTAGCTGGGCATGGTGGCGTGTGCCTGTAATCCCAGATACTCAGGAGGCTGAGGCAGGAGAATTGCCTGAACCCAGGAGGCAGAGATTGCGGTGAGCCGAGATCGCGCCATTGCACTCCAGCCTGGGTAACAAGAGCGAAACTCTGTCTCAAAAAAAAAAAAAGAGTGCAGCTCCCTCTCAAGGGAAAAAAAAGAAGTTGCAGTTTGACCACCTACCCAGCACTCTAAACTTTACTCTTTCTGAGATTAAACAAAATAATGGCTGACGTTTGGTTTTCATTTTATACTTTGTACTTTGTTTTGGTATACTATAGACATCTCTTCTGGTTAAGAGAGAAGAAATTATGCAGATGGGGACAAAATAAGACTCTGAAAATCGCCTGTGCTTTATATACAAAATTGGCTAAAATCTGTATACAAATTTGGAAAGTTTATATACAAATTTGGACAAAATAACCCTACTTTTCTAGGCCTCTATGCTTTAATTCTGTGTTCTCACATATTCAAATAAATGTATGTGTTAACACCTTTGTAGGTATTTTAATGTTGTTTGTAACAGCATTCAAGTTCACTTCTTGTACTGTAATATCATAGCTGAAATGCCAACAAGGGAAGATTAAGCAGCCAAAGGAGATCAAGAGCTAAAAATATACCCCTGAGCTGAAGAGTGACAAAACTTTCTCCTGGTATTAGGGAGGCTTAAACTGACCAGTAAGAAAGGGGGAAGGGTTAATATGACACAGGATTTCATGTAAAGAAAATGTGTTATTTTTAAGGTAAAAGCTGTTTTGAGGTCTTTTTTTTCTTTTTCCCAAAAGGAAAAGTAATTTTTTTCCAATTATAAAATTATATGTTTATTAAAAAATTCAAGTTATATAGAAATTTATATGTTAAAAAGTAAACGTTCACATAATTCTTTTGTACCCCATCCAATAAATAATATAGTTGGGCCGGATGCCATGGCTCACGCCTGTAATCTCAACACTTTGGGAGGCTGAGGCAGGTGGTTCACCTGAGGTCAAGAATTCTAGACCAGTCTGGCCAACATGGTGAAACCCCATCTCTATTAAAAATACAAAAATTAGCTGGGCATGTTGGCACATGCCTGTAATTCCAGCTACTTGGGAGGCTGAGGCAGGAGAATTGCTTGAACCTGGGAGGCGGAGATTGCAGTGAGCCAAGATCACGCCATTGTGCTCCAGCCCAGGTAACAAGAGCAAAACTCTGTCTCAAATAAATAAATAATCGGTTAACAATTGCGTGTATAGCCACACAGAACATTTTTAAGCATGCTTATACACTTGTATAAGTTGTTTTGTTTGAAATGGAGTCTTGCCCAGTCACCCAGGCTGGAGTACAGTAGTGCCATCTTGGCTCACTACAACCTCTGCCTCCCAGGTTCAAGTCCTGCCTCAACCTCCCAAGTAGCTGGGACCAGCATACCCGGCCATTTTTTTGTATTTTTAGTAGAGACAGGGTTTCACCATGTTGGCCAGGCTGGTCTCGAACTCCGGACCTCAGGTGATCCGCCTGCATTGGCCTCCCAAAGTGCTGTGATTATAGGTGTGAGCCACAGCTCCTGGCCCTCATGCAAGTTTTTATAGATACTTTTTAAACAAGACAGGATTATACTGCAAACATTGTTCTTTAGCCTATTTTTCATTTAATAGTATGTTGTTAACTTTTTTCTGAAGAAGTACATGTGGTTATATTCATCTTTTTAATAGTATTCCATTCTTTTTAACAGTATTCCATTGTTACCAGGCTCCAAATGATGTATATTTTGGTTGTTTCCAAATGTTACTATTTATAAACCGTGCTATAGTAAACGTTCTTGTACATTGTGCTTTTGCACTTACTCAGTTATCTCCTTAAGATAAATTATTGGAAGTAGAATTAAAGAATTAAAGGACACACACATAAAAAAATATGGTATGGGCCGGGCAAGGTGGCTCATGCCTGTAATCCCAGCACTTTGGGAGGCCAAGGTGGGCGGATCACTTGAGGCCAAGAGTTTGAGACCAGGCTGGCCAACATGATGAAACCCCGTCTCTACTAAAAATACAAAAAATTAGCCAGACATGGTAGCAGGCACCCATAATCCCAGCTACTCAGGAGGCTGAGGAAGGAGAATCACTTGAACCCAGGAGGCAGAGGTTGCAGTGAACTGAGATCACACCACTGCACACCAACCTGGGCAACAGCAAGAATCCATCTCAAAAAAAAAAAAAAAAAAAAAGTGATATGTATTGCTAAAATACTCACTTGAAAAAATTATTTTCTCACCACTACCAACATGTATGAATATCCGTTTTCTCACCCTCTTGCCAGTACTGCCATTCTGATTGATGAAAGATAATATCTGATGCTTTTATGGTCTTATTTTTTATATTTTAAATCTTTAATTTATTTTGAATTTGTTTCTGTACATGATGTGCACAGTTTCTCCAAAATACTATGCTATGTACATGGTATGAAGAGTTTCACCTAAATAGTACGCTAGTTCATTGGTGAGATTTTATTTTATTTCATTTTTTTTTAAGACAAATTCTCACTTTGTCACCCAGGCTGGAGTACAGGGACATGATCATAGCTCACTCTCGGCCTCAAATTCCTGGTCTCAAGCCATCCTCCCGCCTCAGCCTCCTGAGAAGCTGGGACCATAGGCATGCACCACCACACCCAGCTAATTGTAATTTTTATGTAGAGACTGGATTTCACTTTGCTGCCCAGTCTGGTCTGAAACTCCTGACTTCAAGCATTTTTCCCACTTTGGCCTCCCACAGTGTTGGGATTACAGGCATGAGCCACCACACCCAACAAGGACAGATTTTAAAAAAGAAAAATGTAAGCTTATTACACTGAAAAGAGAAAATTTTCTGTCGCTAAGGGATTTAATTGTAGGACAGCCACTGAGGAGAGGGATATATGTGCATAGGGCTGCAACATACACTAAAAAATAAATTAGATATCATCCCTCTATGGTATAAACAGCCCTTTTTCGGTCTCTAATGACTGTTTTTATCAGTTGGTTATATGTAGATATTTCTACTCAAATCTGCCCTAAATACTGTTAATTGGTTTGAATTATAATATAACCTACTTACTGACCTGTATTATTTGCAACAATTGTTATATATAGAAAGATAAAGTAATTGTAACTAGAAATCAAATCCCTTACAGTGAATTCCATAGGGCACTTTCAGTATATTAAATTAATTGCTTGAAATTGCATTCCCAGAAGTAAGGGGTTTGGGGCCAGAATCAAGAACATGCCTGCTTTTGAAATTTAGAAACACTTAAAGCATATTCTACACCTCTCTTTTGTTAAAACATCCTATTCATTCTGCTCTGTTGTGTTTCACTTTTTGTTTTTCTAGAAGAATATATGGGACATTTAAGATGAGAAAGGATCAAGAGATAACTGCCTTTTGACTGTCGTCACTAGGTTCCTATCCTTGGTTGAGACATTTTCCTAGTAGTCCCTTCTCTTTATTTACTACATGATTTTTTACTTTCTCAGAGTAACATCTCTCAGCCTGTGTTCATTAGCAATCACAGAAGAACCAAACCCATGTATATGCTCTTTCTTTCTCTCCAATAATATATTCTTCTCCCTCCTTTTCCCTCAAATGAGGCAGAAAGGGAAAGCTGAGTGGTGTGTAATCAGCAGGTGAGATTCCTAATGAGAATGTGATATCTATGTGGTTGTTTATTTTGTTCATGTTTGTTTTTGTTTTCTTTGAGACGGAGTCTTGCTCTGTTGCCACACTGGAGTGCAGTGGTGTGATCTCTGCTCACCGCAGCCTCTAAATCCCTGGTTCAAGCAATTCCCCTGCCTCCGCCTCCCAAGTTGCTGGGATTACAGGCACCTGTCACCCATGCCCAGCTATTTTTGTATTTTTAGTAGAGACGGGTTTCACCATGCTGGCCAGGATGTTCTCAATCTCCTGACCTGGTGGTCCACCCGCCTAGGCCTCCCAAAGTGCTGGGATTACAGCATGAGCCACCTTGCACGGCCAGTCATATATGACAGAATCTTTAAGACATAGGGCTGGCTGGGCACGCCTGTAATCCCAGCACTTTGGGAGGCCAAGGCAGGTGGATCGCAAGGTGAAGAGATCAAGACCATCCTGGTCAACATGGTGAAACCCCGTCTCTACTAAAAATACAAAAATTAGCTGGGCGTAGTGGCGCACGCCTGTAGTCCTAGCTACTTAGGAGGCTGAGGCAGGAGAATTGCTTGAACCCAGGAGGCGGAGGTTGCAGCGAGCTGAGATCCTGCTGTTGCATTCCAGCCTGGGTAACAAGAGTGAAACTCCGTCTCAAAAAAAAAAAAAAAAAAGCATAGGGCTTTCGAATTGAGATCCCTGGGTTCACCTCCTGCCTATGTTACTTACTAGCTATGTAACCTCTGTAAGCCAGGTTCCTCATCTGTATAGTTAAATCACTTTATAGGATTGCTGTGGAAATTAAATCCAATAGTACATAAAGCACTTAGCAGCATGCCTTGCACATAGTAAATGCACATAAAATTTTAGCAACTTTTTGTACCATTGTTGTTATTAAATTTTATTATTATAATATTAGTATGCCTTATTTTTAAAGTAACTGTCCCTCTTTTTTTTTTTTTTTTTTGATGCTCTACACGTTCAGAGAAACTTCTCTAGTAACAAACTATAGAAATGATCCCTGAAGCCGAGCGCGGTGGCTCAAGCCTGTAATCCCAGCACTTTGGGAGGCCAAGGCTGGTGGATCATGAGGTCAGGAGATTGAGACCATCCTGGTCAACATGGTGAAACCCCGTCTCTACTAAAAATATAAAAAAAATTAGCTGGGCATGGTGGCGTGTGCCTGTAATCCCAGCTACTCAGGAGGCAGAGGCAGGAGAATTGCCTGAACCCAGGAGGCGGAGGTTGCGGTGAGCCGAGATCGCCATTGCACTCCAGCCTGGGTAACAAGAGTGAAACTCCGTCTCAAAAAAAAAAAAAAAAAGAAAGAAATGATCCCTGAAATACAGTCTTGACTGTCCCTCTTTTGTAAAGCGGCTATCATTCAAAGTCTTCCTCGGCCGGGCGCGGTGGCTCAAGCCTGTAATCCCAGCACTTTGGGAGGCCGAGGCGGGTGGATCACGAGGTCAAGAGATCGAGACCATCCTGGTCAACATGGTGAAACCCCGTCTCTACTAAAAATACAAAAAATTAGCTGGGCATGGTGGCGCGTGCCTGTAATCCCAGCTACTCAGGAGGCTGAGGCAGGAGAATTGCCTGAACCCAGGAGGCGGAGGTTGCGGTGAGCCGAGATCACGCCATTGCACTCCAGCCTGGGTAACGAGCAAAACTCTGTCTCCCAAAAAAAAAAAAAAAAAAAAAAGTCTTCCTCAAAATTGATTGCCTTTTTAGGTGTATGTATGGGAGTTGGGATTAGGTTTGGCTGGTGATAACTGGAAATTCAAAGTGGCTATGGTTTAATAAACACACAATGGTTTATTCTCTCTCAAAAAAGAGTCTGAAGGTAGGTACACCAGGTCTGGTATGATAATTTTACCAAGTTATCAAAAAAAAAAAAAAAAAAAAAAACCATCATTCTGTCTTTCTGGTCTTCTATCCCAATACTTGCCTTGTATCCCTAAGGCCACTTTGTGGTCCAAGATGGCTGCTGGACTTTCAACTCCACTTGAATAGTCTGAGTTGTAGACTAGAAGAAGGAAAGGTAGAAATTTAGACTTCCTCAAAACTGTTGTCTCTTACCTTGATAAGTAGCCTTCTCAGAAATCTTTTTTTTTTTTTTTTGAGGCGGAGTTTCACTCTTGTTACCCAGGCTGGAGTGCAATGGCGCGATCTCGGCTCACCGCAACCTCCGCCTCCTGGGTTCAGGCAATTCTCCTTCCTCAGCCTCCTGAGTAGCTGGGATTACAGGCACACACCACCATGCCCAGCTAATTTTTTGTATTTTTAGTAGAGATGGGGTTTCACCATGTTGACCAGGATGGTCTCGATCTCTTGACCTTGTGATCCACCCGCCTCGGCCTCCCAAAGTGCTGGGATTACAGGCTTGAGCCACCGCGCCGGGCCTCAGAAATCTTTTAACACTTTTACTTAAATCTTCCTGTACAGAACTTCTTCATATGGCTATACCTAGCTACAAAGGAGGCTGGGAAAGACAATATTTTAGCTGAACTCATTGCTGCCTCAGTGTATTTGAGATTCTGTTACCAGTGAAGAAGGGGAGAATGGATGTTGAGTGGTAGACCTTGATCTCTGTCTGTCATAGCCTATGTCCTATTGGCAAGAATAGCCAAGTAAATACTACTGTGATACTGGATTAAAAACTTGGAGATGTTTTTATGTTACAGAGAACTTTTTATTATAAAGGAACTCCTAATAAAGTAGTTCATGTTATAGTAATTTCATTTGTTTTTTAAAATTATTATTATTAATTTGAGAGTCTCACTCTGTCGCCTAGCCTGGAGTACAGTGGTGTAATCTTGGCTCACTGCAACGTCTGCCTCCTGGGTTCAAGTGATTTTCCTGCCTGAGCCTCCCGAGTAGCTGGGATTATAGGCGCACGCCACCACACCTGACTTATTTTTGTGTTTTTAGTAGAGATTGAGTTTCACCATGTTGGCCAGTCTGGTCTTGAGCTCCTGTATTCATGATCTTCCTACCTTGGGCTTTCAAAGTGCTGGGATTATAGGTATGAGTAACTGCATCCAGCCAATTTTTATTTATTTATTTTTTTTTTGAGACAGAGTCATACTCTTGTTGCCCCTCTGGGAGTGCAGTGGTGCCTCCGCCTCCCAGGTTCAAGTGATTCTCCTGCCTCAGCCTCCTGGATAGCTGAGATTACAGGTGCCTGCCACCACGCCCAGCTAATTTTTGTATTTTTAATAGAGACGGGGTTTCACCATGTTGGCTAGGCTGGTCTTGAACCCCTGACCTCAGGTGATCCACCTGCCTCAGCCTCCCAAAGTGCTGGGATTACAGACCTAGAATTCATTAGACTGAGGGCCTGGCTGCTTTGACTTAGATCTTATTTCTCATTTATTCAGCATTTGCATTTGAATGGGAATGGGTGTTGGGAAGTTCCTACTTCCCTAAACATTTGAAGCACTAATTTATAGCTTTTCTTTATAGATATACGGCAGTGTATGGGAGAAATTACATAGGGCCTTTGCCATTTGGAGTGGCTTTGGTATGACCCTGACTGGCGTTCACACATGTGGAGATTACATGTTCAGTGGCCACACAGTTGTCCTAACTATGCTGAATTTCTTTGTCACCGAATGTAAGTATCTTTTTAGTGCTTCTATGCATATTAGATAACTAGCTGCAGTAAAAGCTGTGGGAAGGGTGTCAAATTCTGTGAAGAATAGGAAAACAGCCTGACCTGAGAAATGTGTGACTGAGAAGCACTGGAAGAAATGTGGCTTTAAAATGATCTTTCTGTCCTTTTCCTAGATACACCAAGAAGCTGGAATTTCTTGCACACTTTATCCTGGGTTCTCAACCTCTTTGGAATCTTCTTCATCTTGGCTGCCCATGAACATTATTCCATTGATGTGTTTATTGCTTTTTATATAACAACAAGACTCTTTTTGTACTACCATACTCTGGCCAATACCAGAGCATATCAGCAGAGCAGGAGAGCAAGGATTTGGTTTCCCATGTTCTCCTTTTTTGAGTGCAATGTTAATGGCACAGTACCTAATGAATATTGTTGGCCATTTTCAAAACCAGCAATAATGAAAAGACTAATTGGATGAAGATTATCTTTCTAATGAGTTTGTGATTAAATATGTAATAGTTGTTGAAAATGAGTAACTTTGCGTTCTCCCCCTAGGTTGTTCCTAGATGCCTGGCTTATATGTTGATGAACTAAAGTTTCCTGTTCTGAGCAGAGTTATCATTATACAAACCAAGAAAGAACAATCAAGAGTCCTTATGTAGCTGTTTGAACAGAAAGCTTAAGTAGATGTTTTCTGCCCCTTCACTTTAGGAAGACAATATTGTGATTGAAGTCAGGCTGTTACCTTTACCTGTTGAGTATTTGCTTATTGAACTTTAAACAAGTCAACTCAGCAGTTTGCTGGTTGAGAGATTTTCATTTCCAGTAGAGCTGTAGTCAAGACATAATATATTTTGAAGCTCTTTATTATCTTTAAAAGAAGAAACCCTACCAAATAATCAGTACTTGTTCTTTGGACTAATCTCTGTGTCAGTTTAAAAAATGCAACCCTGGGACATGATCTGTTTTACTGCAAACAGTTTCGCCTTCTGAACCATCTCTAAGTACACTGAGCATACCAGGATGCCTGAAATAAGAAGAGAATGAAAGAGGCCATTTATGATATGACAGAGTACTGACCAAGATGCCATTGGCCTCCTCATTAATGCAAATGTAGGGCTGGCATTTTTCACCAAAGACGCAACAAAAGATGCAGTGCCTATTTTGTTCTGAGTGTTCAGTATGACCATCAGTAAGTATTCATGAGGGGAAAATGGCTGCATCCATAAAAATAAATGAATTTAATGTTAGTGGTAAAGGTACCTGGAATAACTTTGTGCTATAGTTGTTAGATGACAGTCCAATTTTATGCTTTTTTAATGTTGTTATTTAATGAGCCAAATAGGAGTGTTTTGCAGATGTTAGATAAAGTTCTTATGTCATTAAGTAGGGAAGTATGCATGCAAAGAATTGTTTTCTCCTGAAAAGAAACTTATAGCAAGCATAATATCAGTTTTTGGTTTTTGAAATTCCTTGTTCTTGGCCATTGGAAGTAAGTAGTCTCAGACATACTTGGATATGAAAAAGTTATTGTTTTTTACTTTATAATGGTGTATATACATTCTTTCTATTTAGTCTTAATTTGGCAGTCAGGAAGTGATATAACTTAGCTGCTCTTTGCAACACTAGAAATTTAGTACTTTAAGTCATTTCACCTCTGTGATAACATTTGTTTTATTTTTATGATTTTATACAATAGTTATGACAGTAGGATGGTTATGGAATTGGAATTTCAACCCCAACTAATGAGCTTAGCTGCTCGGAATATTAATTATGTAGTTTTTACATTCCATTTTAAAACAAAGACTTAGAAAAGGTGCTGGCATTCTGAGGCCTAACATTAGGCTGCATAGCAGAAGCTTGCTCCTTCCTTACCTGGGTGAAATTTTTTTTTTTCTTTTTTTTTTTTTTGCACTTTGAGTCATATTCCCACCCCTGTATAAGCTACATAGGAGCCTGAATGAATTGGGTAGGAAAGGAAATTATGCAAACAAGTCTCAGCTAGTGTTGAATGACCCCAATTTGTATCTGCTCTGAACATTATTTTTTTCTCACTTGAGAAATGGTGCAAGGCAATTCAAGTTTTATGCTTTTAACACTCACACCTCAGAATCTGATATCTTAAATTGCTGATTCTGTTACATGCTAGGAACAAAACGCCAACATCTCATGTAAAGAAGTTGCATAATCATGAAAAGTAAAGGATATTTTCTATGCTAGTTAGAGTGGTTTGACCCTTGAGGTTAAAAGATGTGTGACTCTTATTTTTCTACATGACAGAACAGACTGAATTTAGCTAGGGAGGCACAGATGTTGGCTTTTGGGAAAGAGTTCAAAAATCTTTATGGCAATATTAATGTTAAAATGTTAAGTTGAGTACAGTGGTGCAAGGCTGTAGTCCCAGCTTCTGAGGAGGCTAACTTAGCCTTAGAGGCAGGAGGATTGGTTGAGGCCGGGAGTTAGAGGCTGGAGTGTGTTATGATAATGCCTGTGAATAACTACTATATTCCAGCCTGGGCAAATGTAGCAAGACTCCTTCTCTTAAAAACATGGCCAGCTGCAATGGCTTATGCCTGTAATCCCAGCACTTTGGGAGACCAAGGCAGGCAAGATCGAGACCAGCCTGGCCAATGTGGCGAGACCTCATCTACTACAACTACAAAAATTGGCTGGGCATGGTGGCACACACCTGTAATCCCAGTTACTTGGAAAGTTGAGGCACAAGAATTGCTTGAACCCGAGAGGTGGAGGTTGCAGTGAGCTGAGATTGCGCCATTGCACTCCAGCCTGAGTGACAGAGTGAGACTCCATCTCAAAAAAAAAAAAAAAAAAAAATGGGTTCACTGGCTGACGCCTGTAATCCCAGCACTTTGGGAGGTTGAGGCAGGAGGATCACTTGAGCTCAGGAGTACAAAAGCAGCCTGGGCAACAAAGTGAGACTTCGTCTCTACAAAAAGCTTTTTAGAAAATAAGCTGGGCGTCATGGTGCATGCCTGTGGTCCCAGCTGTATGGGAGCCTGAGGCAGGAGGATCACTTGAGCCCCAGGAGGTTGAAGCTACAGTGAGCTATAATCATGCCACTGCACTCCAGCCTGGGTGACAGAGTGAGACCCTGTCTCAATAAATAAATAACAAAAAATTAAATAGCTATTAACCTCAGTGTTGTTTCCTTCATATAAATTTTATTCTAGAACCAAATAGAAAAATAAATGCAACTAACTTTGCAGAGCTATTGACATTGAGAGTGCCTAACCACAATGGAGACTGTAAAATAACTTTTCAGCCTTGCATTTGCTCATACATGTTTTGAGGAAAATGTAAGTTAGGTTTATAACTCATTGTTTTAACTATTATTATTATAAGGCAGTGTTTACATAAATTAATCATCTCTTTCTTGGAAAACATTGAGACAAAATTATTTTCAGTTTTACCTAAACATGAAACCTATATTTTAGTTGCTTTTTGTTTTGTCCAGAAATTTTCAGATTTTTGTCTTCATATTTTTTTTCTGGTTAAAATCTAAATCACAGTGAAGATAGTATTTATGTTTACATTTTATCTGTGAATGTGGCTAAGCAGAGAAGCTATATGCCTTGGGTCTGCGTATTTTTTGACATTGTGTTTGGTTCTATAGGTGCAGACTTGTGAGAGGCTTACGTCATCACGGAGACTTTAGTATAGAAGAAACCAAAATGTTTTTGGTTTGGGGATGCAAACTGGAGTTTGTGTTGCAAGTCCTCGATGCATTTTCTGTGTTCCTGAGAGCAGTGTCACCTTTTTTCTTTTTCCTTTTTCTTTTCTTTTCTTTTTTTTTTTTTAAGACCAGGCAGGGTAGTGTTATTGAAGAGTAACTGAAGAGTCAGTAGAGAGTAAGAGGTTTTGAAGAAGGCAGGTTTGCTGTTGTCACCAAATAATTTGGGGGAAACCTTTCTTGGCTGTGCTGCAAGAATTCTTTGGCTATCCTCTCCATGATTCTCTGACCAGAATTGCTAGGGCAAAAACAGAACTTCTGGCTCTATTTATTTGTATCCTTTGAAATCAGAAAGCAATGAACTTAGCGTTAGAAGCAGTCAGTTAAGGGCCGGGCGCGGTGGCTCAAGCCTGTAATCCCAGCACTTTGGGAGGCTGAGGCTGGTGGATCACGAGGTCAAGAGATCGAGACCATCCTGGTCAACATGGTAAAACCCCGTCTCTACTAAAAATACAAAAATTAGCTGGGCATGGTGGCGCATGCCTGTAATCCCAGCTACTCAGGAGGCTGAGGCAGGAGAATTGCCTGAACCCAGGAGGCAGAGGTTGCGGTGAGCCGAGATCACGCCATTGCACTCCAGCCTGGGTAACAAGAGCGAAACTCCGTCTCAAAAAAAAAAAAAAGAAAGAAAAAAGAAGCAGTCAGTTAAATACTATGGGCTATTCACATGAAAAACCCAGTGTCAGAGAGACCAGAACCCACTGACCCAAGAGACCTGTAGGGAATGTAACTCTTACTCTGTGAGCAGTGGTCTTTTGTGCCCTGTCCCTGCCTGTGTGTTTTTCCAGAAATCCAATAATTTGTAAATGGGGAACAGAGGAGCCAGATTATTTTATTAGCTGATAAGAAACAGTCTGTTTTAGAAACAGCTGTTTGAAAAGTATTACTCATATATTCACAAAGTCATATTTATAACACTAATCTGCTTTGACTGTATTCAGCAAAAGGCAGTTTCACCATTAATTTCATAGTAAACTTTTTAAAAAGATTCTAGATCTAAATTGCCTAAGAATGTTAACCACATTCTTGTTTTAAACTCTAATTTAATAAATTTAATTATTTGATAGTCTTTTATAGACTTAAGTTTTCTTCATACTAAAGGTAATTATGTTATAGTCATTTGCCAGTTCTTTAAGGTATTCAGGCATTTGAGACAAGAAAGCTCTGTTGTAGAATAGTCCAATTGCTTTCTTAAACAGTATTGGTTTCATTTAGACAGTTTTTTAGCCAGCAAAGGTGTCAATTTTAATGCCAACTTGACAGTTTAACAGTTCGTGGTTGTCAGCAGTTTAGCCTAAATTTCCCCGTACTGCTATAGAGCAGAACTGTTGGTAACATCAGAGTCAGAATGCTGCAGATGACTGAGAAGAATGGAAAGAGACCAAGCAGGTTTTTCTGTTCTTTTCCCTGTCTTTGAGTAGCTCTGAATGACTAAAATTAGTATGAAACTAGGTTTTACACTCCCTTTTCCCCTCACCTAGATGTAATGCCACCAATATCAAATAACTAAAATGTAACCAATTACTTTGCATCAAGTTCTGTACAAATATCTCTGAATTCTGTAAGCCATATTTCAGCTATTCTGGTTTTTAGAATACATTCTACCCTAAATTAACCAAAGGACTTCTTATTCAATGTATTTCATGTTTCAGCATGAGGAAGGTTTGTGTCTGATACGGCAAGAGAAAGAACACTATGGTGATTTCATTGTTACTTCAGGTCTCTTTCGATCTGAAGGACTGTAGAGAATTGAACATAGCCAATTCTCCAATATTATCAGTTAGTAATGTCATCTTAAAAATGTTCAGTTTTACTGATTTTTATTCCAAGAATCTATGTATTATTAGAAAAATGAAGTATTTCTGATAATGGAACAAAGAAAGTGGAAACTGGTACTTAGTGGGGGAAGCAAAATTAGCTTGGACTAAAATGGACATGTTTTGTTTTGTGAATTCTACCTAAATGTCTCCCTATCTACAGAGAAATTAGTATTACTTGAAGATGTGAAAGTTCCTGTGGTAGCCATACCTTGAAGCACAGTGTTGTACATAAGTAAATATATTGATTCTAAATTAAATCCAGATTTAACTAATATATATTATTTTATATCTTTGTTGTATTAAAATGTTTAAAAACACTAAAAATAAAACATTTGAAAGTTGGATTGCAGTTTCTTATTGAAATGTCTTTTCATTATTAATGGAGCTGGTCAATTTTTTATATTATGAATTTTAGTTTTTGTAAATGATTAGCCAGGTGTGGTGGCTCACCCCTGTAATCCTAGCTCTTTGGGAGGCCAAGGCAAACTGATTGATTGCTTGAGTCTAGGAATTCAAGATCAGCCTTGGCAACATGGCGAAACCTCGTCTCTACAAAAAATATAAAAATTAGCCAAGCATGGTGGTGTGTGTGTGTAGTCCCAGCTACTTGGGGGACTGAGACGGGAGGATTGACTGAACCGGGGAGTTGGAGGTTGCAGTGAGCCAAGATCGTGCCACTGTACTCCAGCCTGGGTGACAAAGTGAGACCCTGTCTCCAAAAAAACAAGCACATGATTGAGCTCTGTAACTTTAAATCTGTGGTACTTAGCCCAGAACTGTGGAGTAGTTAGAATGCTAAGAATTGTCACAGGTACAGGACTGTATCTGCTTAATCCACAACTGAATTTGTCTTTTTGATCACTGCTAATATGTAGCCTCTGTAGCACTGGCCCAGCTAGTCTTTTTGAGAACTCTGGGAAAAAATATTCCAGAAGAGATCTCAAGGAGCTTGGTGGAATAGAAAATACACTGGGTTTAGACTTTTTTTTTTTTTTTTGAGACAGAATTTTGCTTTTGTTGCCTAGGCTGGAATGCAGTGGCACAATCTCGGCTCACTGCAACCTCTACCTTCTGGGTCAAGCAATTCTCCTGCCTCAGCCTTCCCAGTAGCTGGGATTATAGGTGCCTGCCACCATGCCTGGCTAATTTTTGTATTTTTCGTAGAGATAGGATTTCACCATGTTGGCCAAGCTGGTCTCAAACTGCTGGCCTCAGGTGATCTGCCTGCCCTCAGCCTCCCAAAGTGCTGGGATTACAGGAGTGAGCCACTGCACCCGGCTTACAAACATATTTTTAAAATTTTAAATGTTTATATTATTTTACTCCAACTGTAGCATATACATATATATGCACATATACATGTGGTTTCATATCTTGCTTATTTCACTTAACTGTGCCAATGCCTTCCAGCCAAGGATCCAGGACACACCTTAGTTGAGTAACTTGGGTTTTTGCTTGTTACAATGGCGAACACACACATTTTATTCCATGGGGAATTGTGGGGCATCTCAGTGGGAAGGTGTTGGAAAGGACAGGATGTGGACTCGAGTTATGCAGCTTCCAGGGAAGGTTTTACTGAAGTGGGACTCTGTTCTGGATTAGATGGGTGTATTTCTATTATTGAATATCTTTTTTTTTTTTTTTTTTTTTGAGACAGAGTTTCGCTCTTGTTACCCAGGCTGGAGTGCAATGGCGCGATCTCGGCTCACCGCAACCTCCGCCTCCTGGGTTCAGGCAATTCTCCTGCCTCAGCCTCCGGAGTAGCTGGGATTACAGGCACGCGCCACCATGCCCAGCTAATTTTTTGCACCTTTAGTAGAGACGGGGTTTCACCATGTTGACCAGGATGGTCTCGATCTCTTAACCTCGTGATCCACCCGCCTCGGCCTCCCAAAGTGCTGGGATTACAGGCTTGAGCCACCGCGCCCGGCGCTGAATATCTTAATAAATCTTGGCCGGGCGCGGTGGCTCAAGCCTGTAATCCCAGCACTTTGGGAGGCTGAGGCGGGTGGATCACGAGGTCAAGAGATCGAGACCGTCCTGGTCAACATGGTGAAACCCTGTCTCTACTAAAAATACAAAAAATTAGCTGGGCATGGTGGCGCGTGCCTGTAATCCCAGCTACTCAGAAGGCTGAGATAGGAGAATTGCCTGAACCCAGGAGGCGGAGGTTGCGGCGAGCCGAGATCGCGCCATTGCACTCCAGCCGGGGTAACGAGCGAAACTCCGTCTCAAAAAAAAAAAAACAAACACACAAAATAAAGTTCTGAAAAGGGTAATGTTGATACTTGTCTGCCTGCAGTAGCTATTTTTGGCCCTACTGTCACCTGGAAGACATTCCAAAGACCCAGCTTTACCTGTCCCAGATGGAAGGCTTCATTATAGATGCGCAGGATCTGAGCTATGGAAGATGTTTTGAAAGAATATTTATTGGCGGGGGCGCAGTAGCTCATGCCTGTAATTCCAGCACTTTGGGAGGCCAAGGCGGGCGAATCACAAGGTCAGGAGTTTGAGACTAGCCTGACCAACATGGTGAAACCCCATCTCTACTAAAAATACAAACATTAGCTGGACGTGGTGGCGTGCGCCTGTAATTCCAGCTACTCAGGAGACTGAGTCAGGAGAATTGCTTGAACACGGAAGGCAGGGGTTGGGGTAAACCGAGATTACACCACTGCACTCAAGCCTAGGCGACAGAGCAAGACTCTGCCTCAAAAAAAAAAAAAAAAAAAAAAAAAAAAAAAAAAACGAAAAGAAAAGAAGAGAAACAGACTGGTCATGGAGGATTATCCAGTTAGAACAGAAGAAAGATCCTGTGGGGAGAGGACCTTGCTACAGAAGTTCCCTTGCCTATAAGAGCAAGAAGGTAGCCAGGCGAGGTGGCTCACACCTGTAATTCCAGCACTTTGGGAGGCCGAGGCAGGTGGATCACCTGAGGTCAGGAGTTTGAGACCAGCCTGCCCAACATGGTGAAACCCCATCTCTACTAAAAATACAAAAATTAGCTGGGCATGCTGGAGCGCTCCTGTAGTCCAGGCTACTACTGGAGGCTGAGGCAGGACAATCACTTGAATCTGGGAGGTAGCAGTTGCAGTGAGCCAAGATCATGCCACTGCACTCCAGCCTGGCTGACAGTGAGACTCTGCCTCAAAGGGGGAAAACACACACACACACATGCACACACACACAAGCCCAAATCCTGTACCAGCCCCACCTATCACCCTCTTACTGAGATTCCCCTCCCTTCTCCAGGTGTTTAGTCTTTCTCGCTGCAGGAAATTTAATTAAAAACCTACCTTTGGCTGGGCACAGTGACTCATACCTATAATCCCAGCACTTTGGGAGGCCAAGATGGATGGATCATTTGAGGATTTCAAGACCAGCCTTGCCAACATGGTGAAACCCCGACTCTACTAAGAGTACAAAAATTAGCCGGGTATGGTAGTGTGCACGTGTAATCCCAGCTAACTGGGAGGCTGAGTCAGGAGAATCACTTGAACCTGAGAGAGGTTGCAGTGAGCCGAGATCGTAGCCTGGGGGACAGAGTGAGAGTCTGTCTCAAAAACAAAAACAAAAAAAATTAGTTTTACTAAGGGTATGCTCTTGGTGATATTTGGCTAGCAGAAACTGACTTCAGGCAGCCCAAACAGCTATGACAAAAAAAAAAAGAAGAACAGCTAAAAGAATAGAGTGACAGGGAATGCTCACTCACTAATGAGATAGTACCAAAGGAAGTCCTGCAGAGGTGGCATTTGAGCAGAGGCCCTGAATGAAGGGAGGGCCATGTGGGGCAAAGGGAATAGCAGGTGCACCAGCCTCTGGAGCAGCCTTGGCATGTTCTACAAAGAATAAAGAGTTTGGCTTAAGAGTGAACAAGGGGGAAGAGTGATTGAAAGTGGGCCAGGCGCAGTGGTTCATGTCTGTAATCCCAGCACTTTGGGAGGCTGAGGAGGGTGGATCATGAGGTCAGAAGTTTGAGACCAGCCTGGCCAACATAGTGAAACCCCGTCTCTACTAAAAATACAAAAATTGGCCGGGCGTGGGGGCCCACGCCTGTAATCCCAGCACTTTCAGAGGCCGAGGAGGGTGGATCACAAGGTCAGGAGTTCGAGACCAGCCTGACCAACATGGTGAAACCCTGTCTGTACTAAAAATATAAAAATTAGCCAGGCGTGGTGGCACTTGCCTGTAATTCCAGCTACTCCGGAGGCTGAGGCAGGAGAATTGCCTGGGAAGCGGAGAACTCTGAGAGGCGGAGGTTGCAGTGAGCTGATATTGCACCACAGAGCAAAACTCCATCTCAAAAAAAAAAAGAAAAATTAGCCAGGTGTGGTGGTGGGCGCCTGTAATCCCAGCTACTCAGGAGGCTGAGGTGGGAGAATTGCATGAACCCAGAAGGTGAAGGTTGCAGTGAGCCGAGATCATGCCACTGCACTCCAGCCTTGACGACAGAACAAAAACTCCGTCTAAAAAAAAAAAAATGGCCAGGCATGGTGGCTCAAGCCTGTAACCCCAGCACTTTGGGAGGCTGAGGCGGGTGGATCACAAGGTCAAGAGATCGAGACCATCCTGGTCAACATGGTGAAACCCTGTCTCCACTAAAAATACAAAAAATTAGCTGGGCATGGTGGTGTGTGCCTGTAATCCCAGCTACTCAGGAGGCTGAGGAAGGAGAATTGCCTGAACCCAGGAGGCGGAGGTTGCGGTGAGCCGAGATCGCGCCATTGCACTCCAGCCTGGGTAACAAGAGCGAAACTCCATCTCAAAAAAAAAAAAAAGTGATTGAAAGAGAACTTGAGAAGTAGCTAGGCTATAGTCATATAGTCCTCAAAGGTCCTGGTGAAAACTTAAGTTTTGCTTCAAGTGACATGGGAAACCAGTGGAGGATCTGGGTTTTGTGCAGGGGAGTGACTCACATCTCCACCTCACATCTCCATTGTAGCCAGTGACATGTGTTGGCCAAGGCAGAGAATGCCTTCTCCACCCACCTCCTGTGTGGGCCAATTTGCCTGGCCCTGGACCATGTTATGCTTGAAGGTTTCATCAAGTGCTTCTGGGTTCTTTATTAGGACCGTGGAAGAACTGAAGGATGTGCAAGGAGATGAAAGCTACAACAGAGCCAAAGGAAAATACAGCTGCAGTAGGACAAGGCAGCCCTGGATAGAATATAGCAAGCAGGATTTTTAACTTTTCTTCGCTTAAATTTTTTTTTTTTTTAAATGAACAGCCTGACAAACCAGAGTTACGGGAACCTTTTCTTTTTTTTTTTTTTGGTTCAGAAATCAACCTTTGGGCCGGGCGCGGTGGCTCAAGCCTGTAATCCCAGAACTTTGGGAGGCCGAGG